TCGGTTAAACTTTTATCGAACCGAATATTCGGCCGAACATTATACGGTAGGATCACCTCGGTACCTAATCAATTTATATCAAAACTTGTTACCGTAAACCGCGCGGACCCTGCGCCTCGCTCCTCCGCCACACCTGACAGTCATGTTAAATGCATCATCTAGTACTGAGAAAATTGCCGGCACATATTTATGTTTTGACGATTTTTGATAGAAAAAAGTATTCGTTGTGTTATTCTTAGTGAAAATTGATAATTATATGATAATAATGAGTGGCAGGAAATCTACTATTTAGACTTACTTTAGAGAAACTGATGACCAAAGTAAAGTGAATTGTACTAATGTAATGTAATGTTGCTTTGTTTGATTTCAAAAACATTTTATCAAGCTTTCTATTTGCTATAATTGGAAGTAAATCTACAATGCCTCAAAAACATCACGCTATATAAATAGATTTAACTCATAAATAACATATACTTTTAACAGTAAAATTATAAAAGACATGGCAATACTCAATTCGTACATTTCAATACAGTGTACACTTTGAATACCATTTTAACAATTATTCGGTAATTTAGCTGAATATTCGGCCGAATACGAATATTCGGTAAAGCTGCCGAATATGCCGAATACCGAATATGAAACGAATATTCGGCCCATCTCTAATAAAATACATGTCTATGATTGTGGAAGAAAGCTAACTGATAATTGAAAGATGCTAACGAATGCGAAGAATGCTAAGAGGTGTGCTATGTATACCTCTATATTTAAGGTAGCATCAACTAAATACCTTGATATTTTGCTAGACCAAAGACTTCTCTGGCAATCAGATATTGGTCTCGTCACACGCACACGCACGCATACACACACACACACACACACACACACACACACGCACGCACGCACGCACGCACGCACGCACACACGCACATACACACACACGAACACGCACACACGCACACGCACACACGCACCCGCACACGCACGCACACGCACAAGCACACGCACAAGCACACGCACACACACGCACACGCACGCGCGCACGCGCGCACACGCACGCGCGCACGCGCGCACACGCACGCGTGCACGCGCGCACACGCACACGCACACGCACCAGCGCACGCGCACGCGCTCGTGCACACGCACACACACCCGCACACGCACACGCACACGTACACGCACACGCACACGCACACACACACACACACACACACACACACACACACACACACATCACTGTGTGTGTGTATATATAAGTCATAGTTTCCATACTTAAAGTGAAGACAAAGTGTATCTGTTAAGTACCTACTTTTGATACTCGTAAATACCACAAATGTGATATGGAAGAGTGGCTCCTGACTCCTGACACAAGTGCAAATGCACTTAAAAATAAGATATTAAACTATGTTCCGGATATAAGTCAAACCTTGTGAAAGAAATAAACTTTTTATTTATAATTTCTTAATTTAAATGTTCCTGTGTAAGGGAGTAGGTAGAATTTCCCCGCTTATACAGGGTTAACAGCCGCATTTGGTTGTACATAAAGATGGAGAATCTTCAGATATTAGAGTACCTTGGTATCAATTTTTGGACGAATACAAGTAAAATGTCTTCATGTTCAGAATTTTGATTAATTCCATTTGAACTGATAGGAAATACCTACGACGTCACCAGGAAGAAATAAATGATGGATCCTTTCGCAACAGGGCGGTGAATATAATCAGGTATCGCTTTTCGCTCAGCGTTAGAAAAATAATTATAATTTTCTCAGCGATGACACCTATAGATACACTAGAAAGGTAAAACATCATCTAAATACCAATCTAAATCGTTATACATATACTTAAATAACTTTTAAAATATGAAATAAATAGTATTAATCTCGGTACCATAAGACCTAAGAATAGTCTCCCAGTCGTTTTAAATATAAACCGGTATCGGCGTATTATACTAGGCAAGTATATTGGTATGCTGACTGCTACGTACCTTTTTACGTTGACATTTTAACAAGCTAACAGTAACTAACCTGCTTTATATAATACACCAAAAATGAAATAAATTACCCTTTTAAAACAATATAATGCGCAAAATAAAAACAAAATTAAGCTACCTAGTTTATTTAACATATTATTAAGGGTATAGATTTATTAAGGATATAGGTACTTATAAAGTGAAGTTGTCAAATGTGTGTTTACGATCATAACTTAGAATATATAAGAATAATTTAAATGTACTAGAAATTTACATTTAAAAATCATTACTTACAACATAATTAAATATACGTTACGATAACTTGAATGTCATAAATAAGGAAATTTACCTTTAATGCAAGTCTTTTTTCCGCCAACTCGGCAGTTCTCACTTACTCAATTGTACGGGCACAGATCTGTAAATGCAAACGCTGTGTAGCCACTTCACCGACGATAACGGCTAAACGTTGCCGATAAACACAGAATAAAGGCATACTGGAATGTGACAGCTTCAGTCATTTATCTTATCAATAATTCTACGAGTAGTAGTTTATACTGATACAAATACAATTACTTACAAAAATACTGATATACATAGAGTTCAGTACACTTCGGGTAAACGAAACACTAACGAAAGAACTACAGTATGATTACTCAAATATAAATATTGTTTAAAATTCGATTTCAGACCTAGTCCGAGTACTTAAGTGATTTTTTTTTGAGATTTGTCTGGACTTAAAAACTTTGAAAGGATTTCAATGCACAGTGGAATTCTTGTTGAATTAAACTTTGGATTACAGTTAAAAGAATTTAATCAGTTCACTTTTATTACTATTACGATCGCTAAAAAATCTGAATAAATCTAAGAACGTAGAAAAACAGCTACACATTAAGTCGAAATATAATTTTTTTATTTTAGCACTATTAATAGGAAATTAAAATCATCTGGGCCGATTCTTGGCAGATTTCCTATAATACATATTATGGATGGGCCGAATATTCATTTCATATTCGGTATTCGACAGCTTTACCGAATATTCGAATTCGGCCGAATATTCGGCTAAATCACCCAGCATTCGTTTAAGTAAATCTATTTGTATAGCGTTATGTTTTTGTGGCACTGTAGATTTATTTCCAATTATAGCAAATAGAAAGCTTGATAAATGTTTTTGGAATGCAACAAAGAAACATTACATTACATTAATACATTTCATTTTACTTTCTTCATCAATTTATCTAAAACAAGTGCAAATAGTAGATCTCCTGCCACTCATTTTTATCTTAAAATTATCAGATTTCAATAAGAATAACACAACGAAATACTTTTTTCTCACAAAAATAGTCAAAAGATTATGCATGTGCCGGCAATTTGCTCAGTACTAGATGATGCAATAACATGTCAGGTGTGGCGGGGGAGCGAGGGGCGGGGTCCGGCGCTATATTTCACCGGGACACAATGGCGGCGTAACCACTATCGCTACCAACAAAATGTATATAACTCTATAGAGAGTTAATCACCTGGTGTCCGTTTGGTTGCCCAAGCAATTTGGCGGCGCGACCAGCTCTGACGCGTGCACAGAATGCAGAATGTTACTAGTCGCGCCGCCACGCTGGGCGCGCTACCACTAATCAGTAACAGTTATAGAAAAAGTACTCTGTGGTAATTACTATAGCGCTGTCAGCGGCCGCCAGTGACGCCCCCACCCATAGAGTACTTTGCCCCCATCTCATTGCATGTAACACGTGTGCAATGTTGTATTTTGTTTTTTAATTGCTAAATAAGGATGAACACACCACTGTTTCTTTTTTTCTCTTGAACTCTCTTCCTTTGTACATACAGCAGTAGTGCTATCACTTCGAGGTCCATTTTGATACTGTCTCAGTGTGGTGTTGCGACTCTGGTATCTGTATGGTGTCTAGTTTGGTAGCTTGCGGACACCACGGTGGCGCGACTGGTTGCGCCGCCATGATGTCCCGGTGAAATATAGCCTATGGAGTGTAGAAGTAAGGAGTACAGACTGTGCATTAAAAAGTGTCCATAGAAAACCGTTAAATAAGGATGGTGCCACTATAACTACGGGGTAAATTTTAAAGAACGCACCGAAAATATTAGTGGGATAGATGACTTTTTCGAGGTTATATTTACTAAATAAAATTATTTCAGATTTTAGAGCTACTGAGCAGTTTAGCAGCATACTTAAACCGTCGACAACTGCTAAGTTCATTTCATCCCAGTAGCTACTCCAGCGCTGTTGTGGAGAGTTTTTGAACTGTTATTTACTGCTTATAGATGGCCACTTTTTCAACTATTCTATTATGGGAGTTGGTACTCCTTACTTCTACACTCCATAATATAGCCCTTACGGTAACAAGTTTCGACATAAATTGGTTAGGTACCAAGGTGATCCTGCCGAATAATGTTCGGCTGAATATTCGTATTCGGTGAAATCCATATTCGGCCCATCTCTAATATGTACATATTACATAATACCTATTGTGTTTTATCTTACGATAATATTTGCTTAACACGAATTTGATAACCTCATCTTTGGAAATAAATAACTAAACTAACTACATTTATCGTTTGGCTACATAGTCCTTATTTATATCTACACAATAATATTTTATTGCAGAACCTAGATATAAATCTAAAAAAATTTTTTTTATGAGACCCGTAAAGTCCGTTCTTAGTGAGCGTCAACAATCTACATTGCGATATAGTATAGTAACTTTATCATATATCACACATCACATTAACTTCAAAAACAAAACAGTCACATTAACTTGCCGCATGGATTTGATGACGTCATTTTGGCGGTCAGGTACGGTGCGAAAAAAAAGCATGTAGCTATATAAAAACTATATTTTTGATTTTGGAGCATAGGTTTTATTTGTTAATCTTGCAATATGTTGCATCATGTATTTTTTTATACAATATAATTTAAAACTATTTTATGTCGATAGATAAATATTTATTCAAAATTCATCTTCACTATAAATAATAGGTACAATATCATGGTCTAAACTGTCTTCTTATTCACTTTCGATCTCGCTGTCGGATGACTCCTCTCCTCCAAGATCGATTACAAGTTGCTGCAGTACGTCGTCAACCAGGCCATCTTTTTCCCAGTATTCCTGAAAATAAATAAAATAGTGTTATAAATATACCATAAAATAATTGTATCAATTTAGTGAATTACTAATATGTACCTCCAAAAAAGTACTTATATTTTTTTAATTAACATCACAGTACAAACATAAATACATACATACATACATACTTTAGATTTATAATTTATTTACGAACTGACCTGTTGTAGTCTCTTGACATGGTTAACTTCTTTTTTCCAGTCTGATGCTGTGATGGAGTTTATTGCATCTCTGGTGAGATTTTTAGTTTTTCTTTCTTATTGGTCTACGTTTTTATATGCCACCTTCTGTTTGACCAAATTCCAGACATATTCAATGGGGTTGAGGTCACAATGGTAGGGTGGTAAACGTACAATTTCATGGCCATGTCGTTTCATTAAATCATCGACAATGTATTGCTTGGGCGGCTTTGCCTTTTTTATAATATGGTAGAGTTCTCTTTTTCTCATTTTTTCATCAAATGGAATATTTTTGTCACGCAGCCACTGTTGCATGTCTCCTTTTAACGTTGCACTTGTGGGCGTCTTCACCGACTGCGTTGAGTGGTAAGGCGCGTTGTCAATGACGACTATCCTATTTGGGGGCAAGTTTGGTATCAGCTTTTCATTAAGCCATTTCAAAAAATTCTCGGTATTCATTTCATGATGGTAATCGCCAGTAGTACTTTTGCATTGGTATAACAAATCTGCATCTGGGATAAATCCGTTTTCTCCTCCAGCATGCACCAGAATCCACCGTTGAACCGGGTTAAAATTTTTATTCACGCTGCTATCTGTGCTGTTTTGCCAGCATTTGCTGACGGTATAATGGGAATGGATCCACGTTTCATCCAGGTAGATAACTTTTTACCTGCGCCGAGGTCATTGTTCTCTTTCATTCGGCGCAGGTAGCGTTCTCTCCATGCGGCTATATCGGCTTTTTGAATTAGCACCGAACGCGCACATTTTTTAAACTTATAACCCAACTGATTTATTAAAATATTTCTAAGGAAAGTTCTTCCACCTTGAAAATTAAGATCTCTCTTAACAGCTGCCAAGATTTTTTAAGCGTGGGTACTTCATTTTTTACAGTATAAAATCTGTTGATGATATTGCGTATTGCGCAAATATCAAAATCATCCACGACAATTTTTTTCGCTGATTGTTTACGTTTATCGGTGTGGATAACTTTATTTCCCTCATTGGATTGTCTGTAGTACTTGGACTGGGACAAATGTCAGTGCTTGGAACGGTGCTAGTATTTGGGGCCGTACTAGTACTTGGAGCCGTGCTAGTGCTTGGACTTACAGGCCTTTTTGGCCTCCCTTTTTATACGAGTAAGAGTACTTCTTGATATTCCAGTTGCTGCATAGGTTCGTTTATCAACCTGATCTACAGGTATCCAAAAGTATTTTTTCTTCTCATTCTCGAAAAACTGCAGCACTTTCAACACAAGATTTCTCCCTTCACTGTGTATAGTTTTCCCCACGTTAAAAAATGAGTAGTAACAAAAATAGTCCAAAATTAACAAAAACAGTCCAAACTTAAACAATAACGAAAACGCAACAAAATTTCCAAAAACAGCCAAACTTAAACAATAACGAAAACGTAACAAAATATCCAATAACAACAATAGCAACAGAAAACTAGTCAAAATATTGACGCACGTATCGATAACAGAGATGCTAACCATACTGACGATTGCCGGGCGAGCTAAGAGAGTGCGGGGGGAAGCGGGCAGGGCCTCGCATTCCAGCGATGCGTCAAGTTAATGTGACGTAATGATTGTAATCCCAGTGATGAAGATGTAATGCCTCTAATCATACTGGCGCTCATATCCTTCCTTCAAACTATGTTAGAAGTAAGACGATTACGATTATTGATTCCTATACAGACAAAACTATCGAATAAAAATAATAATAATAAATACCTTCAAACGAGCAATTCTTGTATATATATATTAGTATATATTTTGGCCTCTTCCCCCCGGACCGCCATAGGTGCTAACGTGTACAGTCTCCGCATTTTAAACTGCATTAATTTAAATTACGGCGTGAAAATAATCAGCAAAGAAAAATAGGAGCGCAGAATCAAGAAGAAGTCGACGCCAGCCAATAATAATTAGCAATCTTCTGCACAACGCTTTTGCCCTGGTACTTTCAAACTTGTCGCCAAGTGAAAAGGTACTGTGAATTATTGTTGTTTTGTTGTCTTTATCAAATCAGTGCACGCGCAGGAACGTCATCTTTTGTCATCAAAAACAAAGCCACACCCCTGATTTATATTGGTGTGAGGGAACGCAAAGGCGTGTCCCAACCTGTCCACTCATAGTGGTGTTTTAGCGAGCTCAAAGTAAAAATCTCTGGCAGCTTATTATTTCCTGGTACTAAAATGAACAAATTTGACAAATCTTCGTCTGAATCAAATATCTCAAAGCAACTGGAGCATACACCACCTAAATTTGTCACTCAACGCAATAAACGGGGCAGAGAACATGATTTTAACACTTTTCGGGAGGAAATAAAATCAATGATTTCTAATTTAATGGCTGCACAGCAGGATGAAATGAAGAAAATTCACCCCACTCTAATGGACATAAGAACTACAAATAGCAACATACAAAACTCTATAGAATGTCTTGCATCTCAGAATGAGGAACTAAAAAAGAAAATGGAGCAGTTGGAACTTCAAACAAAGAAGGATAAGGACTATATAACAATACTAGAGGACAAGGTCGAGGATCTACAGCGAGAAAACCGTAAGGCCAACATTGAAATAAAAAATGTTCCGAAAGTGCCTAATGAGTCCAAGGAAGGCTTATTAAAGTTGTTCCTAACTCTATCCAATAACATTGGCTGTAACATTGAAAAAAAGGATATAAAAGACATCTACAGAGTACATAGGACAAGTGACCAGAATAAAAGTCAAGTTATAACGGAGATGACGTCTACTATGCAAAAAACAGAGTTTTTAAAACTAGCCAAAAACTCTAATATAAGTCACAAAGAAAAACTGTGCACAAAACATTTAGGCTTTACAAAAAATGAGTATGAACCCATTTACGTATCAGAACAACTGACAGCAAGAGGAGCACGCCTACATTTTCTACCCCGAGATCTTGCCAAGTCTAAGAACTACAAGTTCTGCTGGACGGCCTACGGTAAAATATATATCAGGAAAAATGAAAATTCGCCTATTATCGTTATTAAAAATGAAGCTCATGTTAATAGCCTTATGCAAAAGGAATGACTATATTATGTTACTAATTTAATTAACTTGCAACATTTTTTTCTGGTAATAAGGCAGATTTTCACAGTCACTATATTTCTTATAAAATATGTAATTATAAAGCATGTATTAACATAGTAATCGTTGTTGCCATGAATAACTTTACTCATATACACAAATGCACAATAATTTTAAATACACACACTATATATACCACTAATCAAATAATAAACATTCTTCTCTGCAAAATACTAAGGCATACGTACAATTTTTTAATCGGTTTCTTCATCTCACTAATTATAAATATAAAAAAAAATATATTGAATTATGTAAAAATATATCGTAACTTAACAGCCCATGATGAATAACAAACTTCAAACTTTGAAAGAGATGGACAGTAGCGAAACTGCTACCTCTATTTATTGCAATATTGATGATTTACCTGAACACTTAAACTCAAATAATGTAAAATTCTCTGTTGTGTCCCAAAATATAAGAAGTGTGTACCGCAACCTTGACGACCTAACCTTAAACTTACTTCAATTTCAATTTAATGTGGATATAATAATTCTTACCGAGTGCAGAATTCATAGAGATAAACCTATTCCAAATATTAATAATTACAAAATGTATTCGACGACAAATTACGTGAATCAAAACGACGGGGTAGTCGCATTTATCAAAAATGGCGTTCAAGCCCATGTTAACGAAATAATATTAGCAGACGCTTCCTGTATTCAAATTACTACGGCTTGCTGGTGCTTTTAACTCTATGAACAACCATCTAGAGCTACTTAAATCCCGACGAAATGTTATACTGACAAGTGATATAAACATAAACATAATTCCAAAATCATCTGAACAAACATATGAGCGAAACAATAGATGTAATTAACTGCTTATCCCTACGGACTACTTCCTGGACACTACTTACAAACAAGGGAAAGTAGCTGCATTGATCAATTTATTATAAAACTTGAAAAAACGAAGTATTCCGCCTTTACTGCAGTTCTTAACACCACAATAACTGATCACTTCATGATATTTATTTATTTTATTTATTTATTTATGCTTTCATGCACAACAAAGTACATATGGCGGACTTACTGCCATAGGGCATTCTCTCCCAGTCAACCATTAGGATAAACAAAGATAGACATTATGGAGGCGGTGCAGCAATAATCAAATAAAGAGGATAAAAGAAATAATAATATATATAACCCCATTCTTCTTATTACATATATAACACATACATACATACACTATATACACATAAATACATAAGTATATATCTATGTATATACATACACAATAGGTTAGAACAAATATGAAAAATATACGAAAAAGAGAGCTGAGTTAATTCAAACTTGCAACGATTTAATCAAATACTTACGGACTTAATTTTTAAAGACGAATTTGTTGGGAGCTTTTTTAATGTCAAGAGGAATGTCGTTCCAGAGTCTGATGGCCATGAGGGCGAAAGAGTGAGATAAATAACCAGTACGGTGTAAAGGAGTGAGCAACTTAAGATTGGCCGAGGAACGGAGAGAAAAATTATGAGAATCTCCCAGGTATTGAAATTTAGATATTCCTATCGATTTCTGTAATGCAGGGAATAGAGTGAATGGGGCACTACACTCTATTATGAAGAACCAGAAAGTGTCAAAAAAGGCACGTATGGTAATTCATAATGCTGTGTTAGTCCCTACTTTAATGTATGGTAGTGAAAGCTGGGTGTGGCAGAAGAAGCACGAAAGTAGAATAAATGCTGTAGAAATG